GCCGGACCAATGGACACGGACAGTGGGGTGGGGGGGTTGGGGTAAGGTGGGGACAGGGACACATATGTAATATCTTAATCAATAAAAAATATATTAAAAAAAAAAAGAAAACGATTAATAAATTCTAAACTTTTATATGACAAAAAATAAAATATATTTACATCACTGTTAAAATGTCTTAAAAATAAAATAATGAAGTGGGTGAGGGGTGCTTACAATAGTTGTAGACAAAGAGCAAATACTTTGTATTTGTTTACCTTTAATATTCAAAGAACTCCTGTCAGTACATAAAAAGGTAAATAACCAAGGAGAAAATGCACAAGGTATTTACAGAAGGGCTAAAAATAACTAAGACAAGCATAATCTCAAATTCTAAATCTTTTTTTAAATTAAAATAATGAGAATTCAAAATGTGAAGGGGAAAATATCCCTCATAATCACAGTGTTGCTGAAGGCATCTGGTTCTTTCATTTATAACAATACAGTATTTTGGAATGGCAAAGAAGCATTTTAGATATCTAAAATGTACATAGCATTTCACTTCCAAGGAGTTATGCTTGAAAACTATTTACACAGCATAAATATATGTACAGATTTTCTAACAGCATCATTTGTAATGACCAAAAAAAAAAAAAATCCTAAACATCTACAAGTCTATCAATAGAAGACTGGAAAAGGAAATTACCATACCTCTATGCAAACGTAAGAACTGTACAGTCACTAAAAAGAATAGTTACTCTACACACAGGAAAAGATGCTTAAGATACACTGCTAACTGAAAGAAGCAATTGCAAAAATAATATGCAACCTGCCACTGCACATGGACCATTCCTGGGTGAAGTATAAGCCAAAGTGGGAACAAAATAAACATGCCCTTTTGATCAGAGTAATTGAACATGGGTTTGAAATGAAGGAAAGGGGATGACATTCATTTCCTATGCTATACATTTCTCTATTTTGTGTTTCATGTTTTAATGTAAGAATGTTTTACTTTTGAAATCACAAAATAAAAGTTTTGAGTATGCAGTGATAATATATGTTTTGCTAGGAAGATGTTTTTAAAATACAAAGCTTGGAATCTCTTTGTTACATTGAGCTATCCAGATCAGCCAAAATCTCCATCAAAATGTAACTGCTCACTAGAGTTCATGGCCTCTTCCTCTAGACGGCTTATGGGCACTCAGGATCTCAAGGCACGAGCATGCCACATTAAAACACAAATTCAACAATATGAACATTCTTAAGTTTGCCCTTTAAAAACAAAAGAGAAAACAGCCAAAACACTCATGAAAATGTAACATCAAAAATGAATAATTGATGAAATAAATTATTATCCCTTGCTTTTTCTGCAATTCTAAAATTGGGAGAACCCTTTTAAACTTTAGCCTAAAAGTTGTTTCTCCCAACTGAGAAAACCAATGTTTGAGTTTTCAGATACAGTATATGTTCTCATAGTACTTGAAACCCAAAGTAAGTCATACCTTCTGAGAGCATTTCTGGAATGTCTGCTTGATATCTAGGTCCCACTCTGATCTCACCTTTGTCAGCTAATAGTGTTTTCACAGAGGGGTCATAGACCAATGAGTAGAAAAAGGTATCCTGGAAAAAAAAACAAAAAACAAACAAACAGAAAATACCTAGGTAAACATTTTATAAAACAAAAAATCCAATGTCATGATCATGAAACCACAAAACTTCAGAGTGTATAAAATTTCACTTTGGTGAACAAATTCATGAATGTTTAAGGAGAACACGAAGTTATTATCATTATGTAATACAGTATAATATTAAATCAAGACAAAACAAATAGCTTAGAAAAATATATTATAAAGATTTATTATTTGTTCTAGTCTAAAAGAAAACCATTTCACTGCTCTAAAACAGGATTTTGAAAAGCTAGCAAAGTTAAGCCACGTGAGTCAAAGGTAAGATACCTAAAATCAAGTAATCACTTAAACGTCCAAAGCCCACACTAAACAGTATGGATGCTTACATAGATAATAGGCACTCTTACTTTTTGAGTGTCCATCCGCATTTTATTAAAATGTACACACACCCACATTAATTAAACTATAGAAGAGCTGAGCTTTTATACAGTTTACTGATTAAAGTGTCACACTGTAAACATTTAATTAAACATTTATTACTTATAATTCTATAGTTCTCCTTTAAATTCTGAAACATTTGTATGTATACATAGGTAGGTATATTAACATACATACATACATACCACCACCAGCAGCACACCCACCTGACTATCCATGGTCCCATAAAATGCAACAGAGCCCTAGTTACTGAGCCTAATGGATAAGAAGACCCAGCCACCAGTCCTTTGCTGAATTCTGGGTAACCATGGAGGCCATCTGAACCAGGAAAGTCTTGTCCTTGCTTTCGGCTATGACACTGAGGGTCACCTACTGCATGAACCTCTCTATTACATCCTGGAAGGCCGGGCCCATCATTACCATCAGCACTTTACCAAGACCCAGCCAAGCAAACTGCAAATAAGAGTCAGATTATAAAGCTTTCTCCTTTCAAGGTCTTACAGGCTGTGATAATGGGAAAGGAGAAAACCAAAAAGGAGATACTAAGAAATTCTGCAGTGTTTTAATCATGGTTCACTATCAGAAAAATTAAACAGCAAAACTGTTCAAAAGTCACACCATTATGTGACAATCTACGCATGTAAAAAAATCTATCTAAGGAAAAGAAAAAAAATCTGCAGATTATATAAACCTGCTTAATAGATTGAGGGGGGGACAGGGGGTAAGGACAGTCAGTACATAATCAGAGTTGTTGTTTCTTTATTTTTTAAGACAGGAGCAACAAAGAGTGTTATTAGGTAACTAAAGCTGTTACCACTGGCTCACTATCAGCTTTAAAAGTAGAGGCACTTGCCCTAACCGGTTTGGCTCAGCAGATAGAGCGTCGGCCTGCGGACTGAAGGGCCCCAGGTTCAATTCCGGTCAAGGGCATGTACCTTTGTTGCGGGCACATCCCCAGTTGGGAGTGAGTGTGCAGGAGCCAGCTTATCGATGTTTCTCTCTCATTGATGTTTCTCTCTATGCCTCTCCCTTCCTCTCTGTAAAAAATCAATAAAAATATATTTAAAAAAATAAAAGTAGAGGCACTTTAGGTCACTTTCAGTCTGTAAAATGTTAGTATAGAATTCCATAAAATAAGATTTTGCGCCCTGGCCAGTGTGACTCAGTTAGTTGGGTGTCACCTGTACACGGCAAGGTTACTGGTTCCATTTCCAGTCAGGGTGTGTATGGGAGGCAACCAATCGATGTTTCTCTCGCATGATGATATCTCTCTCTCCCTCTCTCTCTCTCTCTCTCTCTCCCTCCCTCCCTCCTTCCCTCCCTCCCTCTCTCCCTCCCTCCGTTTCACTCTCCCTCTCCCTCTCTCTAAAATCAATGAAATTGAGTAAAGATTTTTTTTAAAAAAAATTTTTTGTTAAAGTTTCCTGAAACACACTGCCACAGGTCAGTTCCTATCTCAAAGACTGATAAAAGACTAAGTGGTGAAAAAAACAAACACCTTTGCAAACTTTCACCTATTATAGTCCTTAGCATATCCAAATTGCTAATAACATAGAAGGCAAAAAAATACCATTTTTTAAAAATCCACTCAACAGTCAAATATACCAATAAAATACACTGGAACATATTGAATGTTCCCTCCTTTTATTTCTGCTTCTGTGCTAATTTATAGCATTATCAATATCCATGTTATTATCAACCATTCTGTTGGACAGACTGATGTGAGTACCGTCTTTTCTAAATTTAACAAGCATAAGTTATAAGGACTATTAGTCTTTTTTTTCTGCCTTGAATATTTATTTCCTTTTAGTTTTCTTTATTAGAGTTCCTAATACATAGTAGATCCACATATTATAGCTATCCTTTTATTTATGTTTTCTTCATTTGAAATATGAGGACAATACTTGAGTATGATAAGAAATATGTCCCTTTAATTCTTTTTTAAAAATACACACACACACACACACACACACACACACCACGTATATAAAATAAAAATTTAGGGAAAACAAAAACAATATGAAACTATATATAAAGGCAAAATACTGGACCAACACCAACAGTAAAATATTTTCCCCATAATACCAATGCTAATAAGTCACATACAACTGTGTATAAAGTGAAATACAGGTTATTCTGTTTATAAGCATTTCCTCCCTTCATTTGAAGCACATGCTCGAATTCAACCTGCTAAACATAGTTAAAATTTTTCTTGAAGTTTACAGAAATAAATATTTTTAGTTGACAAAGTTTGTTAGGGTTCCAGGAAAGAAAGCACACCACCAATGGTAAAATCTCATCTAAAAGAGTCTAAAAGAAAAGCTATTTATTAAAAACAATGATAGCAACAAAACAAACAAAAACCAGGAAAGAGGACCAATTACAGTAAAGTCATGTTTTCATAAGCCAAAATATTTCTTCTACCAGCTAAATCATGTGCTGTACTTTATACAGGTTTTCATTACCAACTGAAAAGAGAGAGACAGACACAGGGGTTTTGTCAACTCTTGCCTCAACCAGAAAAATCAAATTATCCAAATACATTTTAGTGATTATACTTTTACTATAATACTGCTATAGTGGTGCAATAATTTGGTACAAAAAGAAATTAATTCAAAAGATACGGCTTCATGCAAAAAAATGGAAAAACACACAGAAAACAAGTATAATTGTGAATTACCTCTTTATCGAGATATGACAATACTGACTCTGTCTCATTCAGAAGGGCAACACTGCATTTCCCCCTGTTGAAAGAGGGGAAAAGTGAATGAACAAATAAGCGTTTAAGAAAGGCTACTCCACCTTCACAGTGGTGATGTATGCAAAATACAGAATATTCAAAATGTAAAGTTGGCATTAAAAATCCAAATGGCAGTTAGGAATATACATAAATGTATATGTGTAAGACTGGTTTTACAATCCTGGTGTTGCATAATCTAAAAGATAAGACTGTTTTTGTAGACATTTATAGAGAAGCTAACCTCTATAAATGGAAAGAACTGTTAGGCGGTAAACGCTTATATCATAAAGCATTTTATAGTTATTTCTTAATTATTCAAGAAAAAAGTACAATGAAAAACCTTCAGATTAAGTCAGTTTCTGAGTCCATAATGAGTAAATATGAGGTGGTTTTATATTTTTAAAGCAAAGACATTATATAAACAATGAAAACCAGTATCTAATATAACCTCCAGATTTTTAAAGAAGCCACTGCATATGATAACCTAAAAATAATACACATTCCTATCAGGATTAACTAACTTACCTTTATTGAAATTGCTCTAAAGACTAGTTAAAATTTAAACACTAGGAACTTTTACAGAGCAAGGGGCAAAATAACGATCTATAGGCTTGTGCGGACCTTGAAGTTTGATAGCAACTACCTTTGATCCTAAGTCCTGCGCATGAGTTTGGAAATTATGTCAATTTAAAAAGGCTGGTCTAGACTTGAGAAAAAGTAAGGTTATCCAGGTAGAGGCATAAATTATGAGCACTTTTAAAATTATCCTCACTAGCTTGAAAAATTCAATATAGCTATATATGTGACAGGAGGATTTTTTAAAATATATTTTTATTGATTTCAGAGAGGAAGGGAGATAGGAACATCAACAATGCCCTAGCCCAGTGGTCGGCAAACCACGGCTCGCAAGCCACATGCGGCTCTTTGGCCCCTTCAGTGTGGCTCTTCCACAAAATACCAACTTCTGCGCATGGGCCACGAAGTTTCAATCGCACTGTACGTGTGCGCCCACACATGGTATTTTGTGGAAGAGCCACACTCAAGGGGCCAAAGAGCCGCATGTGGCTTGCGAGCTGCAGTTTGCCGATCACTGATCTATGTGAAACACATCGATTGGTTGCCTCCCACGTGAGCCCCAACGGAGCAGGAGTCGAACCTGCAAGCCAGGTACGTGCCCTTGACTGGGATTTGAACCCACAACACTGGTGCACAGGCCAATGCTCTAACCACTGACTCACACTGGCCAGGGCAGGAATCTTTAGTCTTAACTAGCGCCCCAGAGGACTCATAGGTGCACCAAAACCTGAGAACGTTAACTTAGAAATATTCACACCTGTGCTGTCTCACTTCAGTGATTCTCTCTCATCATTGATGTTCCTATCTCTCTCTCCCTCTCCCTTCCTCTCTGAAATTAATAAAAATATTTTTTTTAAAAAAAACACATCAATGATGAGAATCATCAATTGGCTGCCTCCTCCAGGACCCCCACTGGGCAACATGACCTCCTTATTCATACATTGATGCTCAACCACTGACCCACGCTGGCCAGTCCTGACAGAAGAACTTTGACTGTTCAAGTTATAGATATTCGTCAGGGCTCAGAAATATTTTCTAAATATGATGTACTTAATTTTCTAAACAAAAGTCACTACTTACTCCCCACAAAATAACAAGCAAAAATAAACACATTACAGGGAATACAGTCCATAGTCTATATGTATAAAAGGCTAAGTGACTGTCCGACCTCTGGTACCTATGTTGCGCACTGACCACCAGGGGGCAGACGCTCAATGCAGGAGCTGCCGAGCTACAGTGACTTGGCAGCGGTGGTTCTGGGTTAAGCACCCTGAAACCAGAGAGGAGGGAGCCTGATTCCTTGTGGGGCTGCATGATTCCACCTTCAGGCTGATTCCACCTTCAGCCATGGGTTATGTTGTTGCTGGGGCACTGTCGCCCCGAATCTGGTTTACTGCACACTTGCGTTTGCGTTCCACACCTTGTAGGACAGCAACTTTGCAGAGTGCCCTCTCATATTCTGGGATCCCTCGGGGGATGTCGGAGAGCCAGTTTCGTCTGATCCCCAAAGGCCAGGCCAAGGGACCCCACCTGCTCACTCTGCAGATGCCCACAAGCTGCAGCACCGCCCCAGGTGCAGCCGGCTGGGGAGGAACCAAAGGAGGTGGGCTCCTGGGTGTGTCCGGCCTGTCTCGCCCAGTCCCGCCCATTGGCCACCACCCGGGACCACCTGCATTAGTCCCTGCACCAGAGCCAGCACCTTGAGCCAGCTCCGCAAGCCAGCATCTCGAGCCCAAGAGTTTTCTTTCTCTTTCTCTCCACCTCACTCCGCAGATGCCCTTCGAGCCGCGGAGCCATCCCAGGAATTCTAATTAATTTCCTTTCAATGTGTATGAATCCATGCACCAGGCCACTAGTATTATAATAACTATGCATGTCACCAGGTGAGTGGGGGTGGGGGTGGGAGTATCACTTTGTAGTAAAGTATATGCCCTGGCCAGTGTGACTTGGTTGGTTGAAGCATTATCACATACACCAAGGGGTGGCAAGTTCAATTCCCAAGTTGAGGGTTCAATCCCTGGTTGGGGCGCCTGTGGGTTTCTCACAACTCTCTCACCCCTCTCTCTCTCTCTCTCTCTCTCTCTCTCTCTCTTTCTCTTTCTCTCTCCCACACACCCCCTCTTTCTGTCAAAAAAAATCAATTAAAAATTATTTAAGTATATGATTGTCTAATCACTATGGTATACACCTGAAACCAATACAAAATAATACTGATGTAAACTGCAATAGAAAAAATTAAATTAAAATAAGAAAAACAATTCAAAGGAAAAAATACCGCAAGCAAAGTAAAATACTAGCACATAGGTTAAAAAAAATTAGTTTTCTAAACATTTTGCAATACTTCTATATTCCTCAAATTTAAGATCATTTTCTCATAAAAACATCTTTTTCTGGTAATCACCTTAGGTTAATTAACATCACTTCAAAAGATATCTCTGAGAGCATATGATACCTCCATAATATCCAATCTCTATTTTGGTTACCAAGAGTTACAAAGATTTTCTATTTTTCTAATATATTTTATTCATGCGTATCACTGAAGCAGAAAAATTAACATTATTACTTCAGTACACATAACAACACTCAAAAGTCAACAATTACCTGACATGCTTTCACAAAGGACAAAATTATGAGTGGGAAATTGCTCAGTTGCTGTGAGCACATCTACAGAAGCCACAGAACTTCTCTGACCTGTGGCTATGTGCTCCCCGATGCAGCATGCTTAAATAATAAATGGGCTTTCCGCCAAAACCGCTTTGGCTCAGTGGATAGAGCGTCGGCCTGTGGACTGAAGGGTCCCGGGTTCGATTCCGGTCCAGGGCATGTACCTGGGTTGCGGGCACATCCCCGGTGGGAGATGTGCAGGAGGCAGCTGATCGATGTTTCTCTCTCATCCATGTTTCTAACTCTCTATCTCTCTCCCTTCCTCTCTGTAAAAAATCAATAAAATATATTTTTTAAAAAATTTGAAAATAAATAAATAAATGGGCTTTCCAAAAGTAAGCTCCATTTTATTTTGCCTCATTAACAGTTAACAAAGCAATATTTATAACAATTAATACATTACCTAGAAGAAATAAACTCATTTTTGTTAAGTTCTCAAAAGTTGAGTATTTTTTAATGGGAGGAGCAAAATCTGCTAAATGTTATTTTAATAGATACCACTTTCTTTAATAGTCACTTGAATTTTTAGGGTTAACAGTCACTGGAAATTCATATAAATAATATAGCATACTTAAAGGCTCCTCCATACTGTCTGAAAGGACAAGAGAAGTTAAACTGAATAATTAAACCATTTTCAAAATTATATTAGGAGATAGAAAACACTGGTTATACTGTTTTATAGGCACATGATTAAAAAACACCAATAGGATACCTCAGCCAATCTAAAATATAAATTATTTGGGGCAATATAGCTTTTATGCAAAAATGAAAGTATAATAGGTGATTTTACTTTTTAAATTTTCTTTACTATACCTATATTATACTTTTCCCAAATTAAAAATGAAAATCCGCCCTGACCGGTTTGGCTCAATGGATAGAGCATCGGCCTGTGGACTGAGGGGTCCCGGGTTCGATTCTGGTCGGGGGCGTGTGCCTTGGTTGCGGGCACATCCCCGGTGGGAGGTGTGCAGGAGGCAGCTGATCGATGTTTCTCTCTCGTCGATGTTTCTGGCTTTCTGTCCCTCTCCCTTCCACTCTGTAAAAAATCAGTAAAATATGTTTTTTTTAAAAAATGAAAATCCAACACAAAAATATTCATGTACACGTATTAACAGCTAACAAAGCAGGATGTTGAGTCAGAATTATTTTATGAAGTATGATTATGTAATAAACACGTGCTACATGCCAAGAGTTGCCGATAAAAGTAGTTTAAATGAGATTTAAAGTGTTGTCTTCCTTTATGCTGAACAAATATTGGTACATAGATAAACACATGCTAAATTTTAAGCAAACCCCAAACTAAAGGAATTATTATCAAACTCTAAATATGATTTATGCTAAATCTCAAGCAATGACCTTCATTGTTCTCTCCCATAATACTTCAATCCTTAAGGAATAAAGATACCCAAACATGATGATAAAATATATCAAAGACCATACACAAAGAAAGAACACTCCAGGCCCATATAATTATTCATACTGCTTTTCTACAGGGAACCATGCAAGAGCAAGGAATTTCCATGGAGGTAACATACTACCCCACAGATCATTCAAAAAGTTCTTTAAAATATACTGTTTCAGAGACCGTACTGGGATAGAGAAACATGTGAATAAACATAACACAACATGGTCCCATGTTTAATGGCAGGTGCTGATCAGCCTACTGTTTGCTTATCAGGATGTCCTGTATAATCCAAGAAATTCAAAAACCATATGTAAAAATGTGCATACAGGTAATATATTTCTTTTACCTAAAGATATTAC